ATCGATTTAAAGGACTGTTTTTTCACTATCGCCCTCCACCCACAAGATACAAAGCGATTTGCCTTTACCTTGCCTGCAATTAACAAAGGGGAACCTGATAAGCGATTTGAATGGACAGTATTGCCTCAGGGCATGCGTAACTCCCCTACCTTGTGTCAACTATATGTCGATGCAGCCCTACAGCCTTTGAGGCAAAAGTGGCCTGAGACCATAATTTATCATTACATGGATGATATTCTTTTTGCTCAAAAGCCCCAATTCACTTCTGATCAATTGAGAGAGATCCAAACTACATTGGCAAAAGCATCTCTTGTGGTTGCTCAAGAAAAAATACAACAGACCGCACCTTGGAAGTACCTGGGATGGACTATTACCAATCAAATTGTGCGTCCACAAAAACTGCAGCTCTCAACAAAAATTGTCACTTTAAATGACGCGCAACGCCTACTTGGTGATCTTCAATGGTTGAAACCCATAGTTGGCATCCCAAACACCTTACTAAACTGGCTTCGCCCACTGTTGAAGGGAACAGATCCCAGTTCGCCTGTCACGATTTCCCCTCAACAGAACAAAACAATCAAAGATATTCTCCAGTGTATAGAAGTAAGTTTTGTTTCCCGTCGCGATATTGACTTGCCCATTGACCTTACTATATGGAATACCTCAAAACATCTTCTCGGCGCTCTTACACAATTGCAGAAAAAAGCGGGGGAAGTGTGGAGACTTTTGTGGCAGAATGGTTAGGCGAGAAAGGCCATGACTGTACAAACTTGCTAGAGATAAAACACCACTAGTGCAGAGGCAGTCTCAAGGACGGATTGCCCTTGAGATATGGGGAGGAGAACAAGAATGTGGTAAATAGAACGAGAAAGAAGAACCAGGGACGGTCTGGTAACCGCAAGAATGCAGAGGCACATAGCTATGTACCGCAGTGACATAGATAGCAGAATAACCAATGATGAGCTATACTTTCGCAATATGTATGAGCTAATTAAATCATGTATTTAAACACGAGTGTAATGATCAATAAACGAGATTTGCTTGACGACCACCTGGTGTCTGCGACTCCCTTCTCCGACAGAACAAATTCATCTTAAATCCAGAAACAGAGAATACAGAGCAGAGGCAGGGTGGGGGTTTTATGGAACAGAGCCAGGCTGGAGTTTAAGGTCAGGGTCTAATAGGGACAGAGCAAGGGAGAAACCCAGGGGCACAAAACACATCACAACACCCTGGGCTGCCACCCCACCAGGGGTCTGCAGGTGGGGCAACTCGTCCCGGGCTCTCAGGGCACATCTCCTGAAGCAGAGGGTGGAATTGACTTTTCCTGGGCTTTAAAGACACACCTCACACTTTAACACTGCTTATCCAAAAACAAATCCTTGCCTCCCAAACCATTTTTTATCCAAATCATGGAGCCTTTATGTCTTTTGATTGTCAGTGAGGTGTGTTTATCCATTTGTCCATTGTCAGTTACAGTGGCTTTATTAAAGGTTTCAAATGCTTCTGATTACAGAATCTTCAAGACTACAAGAGAGTTTTACAAAATATGCTTTATTACAATTCCCAGATTAGTGACAGGGGAAGAATTTTTTTTTTAATAATAGTGCCACATCTAGATATCAGAGAGTACAGTCATAAATTTTTAGTACCTGGGTTTGTGATAAGAGGAGTTCATACTGTTTCAACAGAATTAATGAATATATCTTTAGAAACGACACCCTCTTACATGCATGCGTGAACTCACAGGTGGACAAAGTGGACAAAGTCTCCTGTCTATCAAGCTATTGAAGCAGGAATTTTAACAAATGGCTACTGAAGGAATTTAGCATATTTTGTACTGTTGCCACTGACTGAAATTCATAAACGGATTCAATAGCTAAAATTCATAGATTCACTTGCAGAAACAAAATTTGGCTTCTTTGGGTTTTTTGACAATGACTCTATAGAAACAAATACATGCCAAAATAATCTGGGTTGACTTGCAGAGCTATAACCTTCAACAACACAAACATAGTAAAAACCCAATACTACTTCCTAATCTGTGAATGATAGAAGAGGCTAACTGGGGTCACAGATTTTTCCAAACACTGTCTTTTCCACATATTTACCAAATATCATTTGAAGTTAAACAAGCCATCAAGACTTCATTTCTTTCCTTATTTCTACTGTTGATTGATTTTATTTTTGCCCTGAAGTTTTCATACTCATGTTGAACTTCATGCTGAACTTCAGAGTTTTTTCCTTTATGGTGGTTTTGCACATGCACAGCTTACTCACAAAAATAATCACAGGACCTCTACACTGTATCAGCAAGCTGCAAATGTTTACTACAAGATTGCTGCCGTGTAAAAGGAAAAAAGCATAATCATCTAAATGTAGTTCAAGCAGAACAGATTTAAGAATAAAGCCCAATATGACTAACATCTTTGCCAAAGGAAAGAAAGCAAGTGTTGCTCCCAGTTCAGGCTCACATCACTGTTTTGGAAAGCAGTAAAATACATCAAACATTACCTACAGATTGTATTTCTACGATTCACTATTATGCTTCAGTGTTAATCAGCTGTATCTTCACCAGCACATCACGGACATAAGCACATAGATTTGAATTCAAATTAATGCATGATCCTTTAGTAGGACAATATAAAATGTTAGAGAAAAGTTGGGTTGTTTTTTTTTTCAATTGCAGAATAAGATACTTTGAAGCACATTTTCTTCAAAGGTCCCAAAAGCTTTGAGTAACTCAGCACAGTGTCCTGATGCTGAGGAGCTGATCTTCAGAATGGATTATGCTGCCAATACCAAATCGATCACTTCCTAATATTCAACTCATCACATCATAATGTTCAGTTATCTATAGCAGTACAAGTTACTTTGTGGATGCAGCTTCCAGCTCTCTGTAATGTCTCAGATGCAATTTCACATCTATCTACATAAAAGATCTACTCTGTAAGCATGAATTCAAGTAAGGATTGGAGAGATTGACCTTCCTTTCCCTTTCCTTCTTTGCACCAGTGGAACAAGCTACAAAAACAGAATTTGTTTGCAACCATGCCCTCCACTCTGCACATGCCCAAAGTCAAGTAGCTTTTACTTGCAAAATATACATTTTTTCCAACTTACATTTGAATGGTATTCCAAAGCATCCAGTTCACCTTGGTTGAATACACATTTCCTTTCACCTTTCTGCAGAATTAGCAAAAAACAACAAAAAAACCCCATATAATTCCACAATGAAATAAAAGGGGAAAAAAAAAATCAAAGATACCTGAATTACAATTTACCTCTTTAAAAGCAGACAAAATTTTCCATCTCTTTTTACTATCACAAGTACAAGTCAAATAAGCAAAAAGATCTGAAAATACCTAAACTGCTGCAGGCATTCACAAAGTACATGGGCTTAAAGCTGCTCTAAATTATTCATGGTACTAGGATCTGAAGGTACCTAGTGCACAGTTTGTGCTCATGCCTCCTTTGGGCCCATACTAAAAGTTTCAGCTGCCAAGTGCAGCTTACCAATAAAAGAAAAATATTAACTATTTCTCTATGATTACATTTATTGCTTTAGACAAGTGACTCTTATTTTCTCATGTCCATATGGAACAGTACTGAACAACACTTAAAGTAAATTCATACTGTCCTTCCCAACTCACTAATCTGCACAATCTCAACAGCTACCACAGTTTCAGGCTGTGTACCTGACCACAACCAGTGCCAGGAGATCTCAGGAGCAATCCACTGCTTATGAGACAGAATGCACATTACTCACATGAGGGGCACAAGAATATCCTCAAAAGTGCCCACTCTTCTATACTACCTCAAAAGACTCAGGTATGCAAAACAATATTCGCAGAATATTATTTATCAAGGGATTACTGCAATTTACTATGTTACAGAGAACATACCTTCCTAGCAGTGCCAAGAGAATCTCCAGTGTCACTCTTTGCTCCTTCTTGGTATTCCTCTCCGTTGTTGTTGGCCTTTACTTCTGCCTGACTCACCTGAGGGCAGGACACAGCTGCTCCTCACAAGCTGCAGCTATATAGGGCTTAGGAATATCCAAGAACTCCTCCCAAAACACATATCTCATTTTTGCTCTTTTACTTTCTGCTTCTACAGCATCTCCGGGATCAAAAGGAGGACCATCGCTTGATGAGGGCATGGCAGCAAAAGTAGAAAATCTGTAACAGTCTTCAGTAGATGTGACAGAAGTACTGTGAATGACACCACCAGGGTGTGCAAAGGAGTCACAGATCTCATAGCCACACTGGTTGATGAAAGAGAGATGATCCACAAGCCATCCCACTGTCAGACCATGTACCACCGACATCCTAAGTCCCCTTTTCAGGACGAAAGATGAGCTCCCTGAAACCACAGCCTTCACCAACCATCTGCACTTCCTGGAGCAACCTCCTCCTCCTGTGGGAATTTTTATAAGAATTCACTTTACAGAATTATCACTATTTAATAAACTAGCACATCCCATCTGACAGACATTTCCATGCTCACACAGGCCACACTGCTGACTTCAGCTGGTTTCCCCATTATGCTGATCCCCATACCACTACATTTTTTGTAGTAACCAAATTTTATATGACTTTCCATACTTTTATATGGTATGTGCTTACTCTGTCTCTTTTTAACGAGTCAGAAAACAGCCCTATGACACTCCAATTATGTCTTAGACTATATGATACCTGTGTATATCTATACACTGTATATACACCACATATATATGCATTTACACTACATATCTTTACTACATATGTTACACACATGCTACATAGACTACATATATCTGCACACTATCGACTATAAACTACATATATGCACACACTATATATACACATACGCTATATATATTCACATATAAACACACACGTGTGCATACATACTCACCATGTACACATGCACACACTGTATCTACACACACACACACATATACCTAGAGACATGGATCACTATGACGGCACCCGGGAGCAGCAATATAGGCACAAGGGCAGGGGCAGCCGCAGCCCCAGCGCGGCTGAGGCCAGGCACCGACTCCCATCCCCGAGGGCACACAGGGACCGAGAACTTGGGATTTTCCCCAGGAAAACTCTCGGCGGCTGGAGAAAAGCCCGGGGCCCGCCGTGGCCCGGCAGCGCCTGACAAACACTCACCGCGGGCGCCGCCATGTCGCTGTGCGGCCATGGCCCGGCCCTGAGCACTTCCGGGGCTTCAGCTCCTCCGCTCCTCCGCTCCTCCGCTCCTCCGCTCCTCCGCTCCTCCGCTCCTCCGCTCCTCCGCTCCTCCTCCCCTCCATCCCTCCGTCCCCTCCGTCCCCTCCTCCTCCC